CAAGTGGGACCGAATTAAACTGACAAGCTTCTGCAAAGCCAAAGAAACCATCAAGAGAGCAGGGAGACAGCCTACAGACTGGGAAAAAGTATTTGCCAACTCCAGGTCTGACAAAGGCTTAACATCCTGGATCTACAAGGAACTCAAACGTGCTGAAAAGAAAAAAACAAACAACCCCATTATAAAATGGGCAAAAGATATGAACAGACACTTCTCAAAGGAAGACATCCGAGCAGCCAACAGACACATGAAGAAATGTTCAACCTCACTAATCATCAGGGAGATGCAAATCAAAACCACACTGAGATACCAAAAAGCCATTTTGAGATGTCCCCGTAAGAGTTCATCTCCCCTTCCCCATGCCAGAACCTGCTGGCTCCTTGCTGCACTTCCCTCCTTGACCAGAACACAACTGTGCCGACAAGTCTCTCTGCCCCACCAGACAGTGAGCTCCCGAGGACCAGGGGAACCGTGCTCGCCTCGGCAGTCCCAGTTCCCGACCCGGAGCCCTGCCCCGCCTACGTGCTCTGTAACTGTTTGCTGAATGAACGCCCTGCTCTTCATTTCACCTCCAATTAATAAACTCTGAAGCCCCGGGCTGCTGCCGGAACATTCCTGACTTCTAATCTGGCACCATTGAGGGATTTTTTTTTCCCTCCGATGGTGAATTCCATCTGCTCTTTCAATTAATGAAATTCAGCCCTATGCAAATGTTTCTTCTGGGATCATCCTCTGTGAGTAACCTTTGAGAGCTTACTCGTCAGTGCGTTCCCTGAATCCCTGTAGGAAGCATTCTGGGAACCTGTCATTGGGCCTTTGCACCGAATGGCTCAAGTGAGCGGAACCAACAGACCTGCCACTTGGCACTAGGAACTTACAGCCCCGGGCACCGCAGGATTTGAGTTTCCTGACCACGCTCCCCCTCAGCCCCTTCCTCTCCACTAAACTCCCACCACCTGGCACTGCTTCCCTCTGCAGTGTCTGAAAGCAAGTCCCTTCGGAAAGCCAGCTGTGCCCTGTAAAGACCATAAACATATCTCCTGCACATTTCTTCATTCATTCAGCCCTACGCTTCTCTATGAGAGGGTCACCAGAAGCCCTGGCTCCCAAGTACAATAAACATAGAGCTGGGATATAAAACATAAGCTGGGACAATAAACGTGCTTCTTCTCTGAGAGATATGGCTTTATGATACAGGAGCTCGGGGTCAAAAAGGCAGCTTGGCGTCGTGGCCAAAGCACTAACTTCAGATCCAAACAGATGTGACTTCAGATCCCAGCTTTTTGTCTGACTGGCTGTGTGGCTCTGGGCAGGCTAATTAACTTCTCTGGATCTCAGGCTCCTCGAATACATAAAACGAGACAGATGTAGAGCTCTCTCGCGAATCTTCTGAGGTTGGGACAGGAAGACAGCCGTGTAGCCTGGTCTCTGTCTGTGTGGGATTTCTGGTTTCTTCTGAAGGTGGGGCTGCAGCGGCATGTGGCCAGCGGGGTCACCCCTGCTGTGCCTTCCCAGAGGCCGAGAGCCGGAACTGAGCTGCCCAAGACACTCCATGGGAGGCCAGGGAGGGAGGCCGAGGAGGCCCAAGTGGAGTCTCTGAGCAGGTACCGGGGAGGTCTGCTAGGCTTGGTTTCAAAACCAGGGCAGACAGGTCAGAGCTGGCGGAAAACGGCCTCGAATTTCTCCAGGGGTCCAGGGTCTACATTCCTTGAGATGAATTTGCTTTTTGGGACCAGCTTCAAGGCACTGAGCACTAAGGTACAGGATGACAGGGGCGGTGACAGTTGGGAGCTCTTTTTCTTACTTGCATCTCTCTCCTCAGCCCTCAGCCTTTACCCATCCTTTCTGGCATGGCATTTCCGAGGCCTCAGAATTGGCCTTTTCCCTCCAGCTTCCTCCCTGGGGGATCCCGACCAGTCCCTCGGCTTTGCTGCCTCTTGGCACTGGGAGCTTCCCCATCCTTGAGAACATCTGCCTGCTTTGAGGTCCCACAGATAAGCCGCACGCACACTCATTGCTCCACCACCCCACAAGCCTGCGGGGTGTCCCCTACACAGCAGACGCCACTGTGAGCCACTCTGCTGCAAAAGCTGGAGAGCTGGGAGGCAGCCCTGACACCTCCTCTGTTTCCACCCCCCTCCCGTTGGTCGCTAAATCCTGTCCATTTGATCTCTCTTGAATCCTGAAGCCGTGACCTCTTTGGCCACACCTGCCCCAGCGCGGAACTCTTCTGGAAAGGGATTTCAGAGGTTACCAGAAAAAAAAGAAGCCTTATCGGAGTATGTATGCAGTCTTCCATAGGTATCACTTCCAAGTAAGTAGACTGAAATAGATACTTGCTAGTATTTTTGCTAAGTACTAAAAAATATTCCCATGACAGGAGGCCCTATCATGGGAGACGAGGCTGAAACACTTTGGAGCTGGGCTTTGGATTCACACTGACCTGGGTTTGACTCTCACCAACAATGTCAACTTGGGCAAGCCGCTCAGCCCCTCCAAGCCCCCGTTTTCTGAACCCTAAAAGGGAAATAATGAATTGTGTCTACCTCATGTTCGTGGGCATTCAGTGAAGTTATAAATGGAAAGCACTTAGCTAACTGCCCGACACATAGTAAATACACGCAAGCTGCCTATAATTTTGAATCCAAACTTCATTTATTTTATTTACTTAATAAGTTAGAGATTATCTTATTAAGGATAAGTAGTGGATTCTAGGCAGATGATAATACAGATTTCCAATCTGCATGTAAATCAGGTGGAGCAAATAGACGGCTAAACCAAAAACCCATGGAAGCATTTACTACAAAACTAAGTTGTTCCCACAACGCCCAAAACACAAGTGGGTGGAAATAAAATACCAGCAGCGACAAGAGATACATGTACAGAAAAAAAAGAGAAAGCGAGAGAAGCAGTAAAATAGCATGCCTTGGGCCAGAGAACAAATAACTCCAAAATAACCAGCAGGTACTCTCTGGGGAGCACAACTGGCCGATTTGCGAACAGCAGCTGAAACTAGTAGGAATGTTCCTAATCCGTTATCAGAGGCACGTAAAGGGCCCTCGATAAGTTATGAAGGAGGTGGAACAGTCTGGGACACCAAAAAGCTTTCCTCCACCCAGACATAGCTCCTTCTAGCAAAGAGCCCCAAGAAAACACTGTGTGGGGTGGAACCAAAATGGAGCAGGGGAGGGACCCTACAGACAAAAGACAAGGTTCAGATAAAAATAGGGAGGGAGACATCAGATAGCAAGCTGCCTCAGATCCTGAGACTTCACGCAAACAGCACAAAAGGGAGGTCTGTTAAGTTAGGAAGGCCATCCTGAACCAGATCATCTTCTAAAATTTCAGGAAAACAAATTTCTCATAAAAATGAGCAACAGGAAAGTATCAAGGTCAAATTCCATTCAAAGTTATTCTAAGAAAAAGGAGGAGAAAGAAAAAGAACACGGTTACAATGAACACACACCAGAAAGATATGCCAATGAAACAGATCGAAACTGTAGTCTACTGTTTCAAAAGAGTTAAAAGACTCGGTTGTTTCGTTAATAGGTCCCCCGTGAATCAAGCCTTCTGGCATCCATGCCCCTTATACATGATGGGTCACGTGCCTTGCTTTGACCAACTGAACATCAGGAAATGGAAGGTGTGTAGAGTCCTGATAAAAATGGGTGAATTAGGTATGCCCTGTTGCAACAACATACGAAGAAGCTCACTCTAGCCCCTTGATGATGAAAGACCCCACGCAGAGAGCTAGCTGAGCCCAGCTCCCAGCTGACTCACCAGCTAAATGCATCTGCACGAGTGTGCCCAGCCAAAACCAGCAGAACCACCCTGTCAACCAACAAAATTGTGAGAAATAATACACTGTTATTGTTCTAAGCCACTAAGTTTTGACATGGCTTATTACACGGCAATTGGTAACTAATAAAGAAATTAAGAAAATTATACCAGTCATGAAAGAACAACGTAAGTTAGAATTTTGAAAACTCAGAAGTCAGGCTAGAGAACTCAGGAAGAAATTAGAAATAAAGGGACAATTATTTCAGGAATAAAGACTTCACTAGAAAGCACATAAAGCAAGCCAACATAATAGATAATACCTTAAAAGAAAAAGAAAGATAATAATGAAAACATTTTTTAAAGAAATGAGTTGGGTGTGGTGGCTCACGCCTTCGGAGGCTGAGGTAGGAGAATCACTTAAGCCCAGGAGTTCAAGACCAGCCTGGGCAATATAGTGAGACCTTGTTTATACAAAAAAAAAATTAAAAATTTAGCTGGGTATGGTGATGCACACCTGCAGTTCCAGTTATTGGAGAGGCCAAGGTGGGAGAATTGCTTGAGCCCTGGAGGTCAAAGCTGCAGTGAGCTGGGATTGTGCCACTGTACTCCAGCCTGGGTGACAGAGTGAGACCCTGTCTCCAAAAAAAAAACAAAATTTTTTTTTGATGAAATGAAGGAAGAAGTATAAAGATTTGAGAGAAAGTGACAAATGTTGAAGATTGGCAAAGAAGACCCAACATTCAGATAACAGGCGTTATTAACAAAGAAAATGAAAGCCAGAGACCAGAATACATACTAAACACAATACTTCCATACAATTTCTTAAAGGAAAAACGGTTTGAAACTACATATTGAAAGAGCATTGTGTACCTAAAAATATATATCCAGAATGGCCAACATCAAGTTAAATTCTGGCAACACTACAGGGCTCAAGAAAAAGAACATGCTTGTTTTGTTTGCCACCCTCCAAGCCTGAGACAGCGTCTCTGGCTGAGTGGGATTTCTCTAGAAAACCCAGGAGGGACGGGTGTACTTAGTAGAGGAGACTGCTTGGGAAAAGTCCAGGGCTTCGAGAGAGGATGGCACATGCTGGGACCGGTAGTGCCTGGTATGGGGGTAGGAAGAGAATGTGGGTGGGTGTGGGTTGGCAGATGAAATAGGAGAGGGACACCGAGGCACTAGACTGGCTCATACCAAAAGGAGGGGCCTGGAACACTCACCCATGTAGGGCTTGGTACCAGCCATGGAGGAAGCCTTTTCCGCGCCTTTCACTACCGTCGCTATGTTGAAGTCTGTGATATGAACGTGTCCTGCAAAACATAGAAACAGAAACTCCAGTTAGCAAGGGCTGTAGGCAGCTTGGCTATTTCGAGCTGTGGTCTGCAAGGTGGGGTTCAGGAAAAAGATATTAGAATTTATATTTAGAATCATAGTCTATCTAACACTATACAAGTGTCTATTTTGTGTGCATGCTTGAGAATGCGAATTCATTTGATAGGAACACATATTATTTTGAATAACACTTATGTTGGGAGTAGAATAATAATTTTTTAAGGTTGAAACATTTAGAGGCAATGATGTAGAGCATGAAAGCTCCTGGTAAATACATCAAGCAGGTCAGTTGAAGCTCCCTCTCTCAGGGGAATTGTGGGTTGGCTGTGACTGGATGCGGGTTGGAGGAAAAGGATTCTCCTGCCTAGAAGGCACTGATTGTTCTGCTGTTTGTCTGCAGTCAGTGGGGTCCTTAGTACTGTACTGGATTAATTTAGTAGGAAGGAGGTTGGGGATTAAGACCACCTTCCATCCAGTCTGAAGTGATGGCAGCAGATGGGACACAGGTAGGCTCAGTGCACCTACGAAGCAGGTGTTCAAGAAACATGACCAGGAAGGAAGAGAGAAAAAGAAAGAAGGAAACACAGTGACCTGGGAGTAAAGAGAAGAAGGGAAGTCGGGGGAGGGGTGGGAATGGAGGAAACACCTGAATGGTCAGCGTGTGCATTCAGAGGAATTTGGTGCGCAAAGGAAACCAGCTCTGAGGGCCTTGATTGACAGACACAAGGGTAATCATGTTTCTATTTGCCTGTCATGGCATCATGTGAAAACATCTGCTTGGATTTTCACCAACACCGAGAGTGGTGTTTCGGATACGTGACTTAAATGCACAGGTGGGTACCCTATGGGAAATTGACTTTGTGGGGACCTGGGAGGCCCCTCCAAGAGCTGGCCAGACACTTTCCGGGGCAGGTGTGATGAGGCCTGCTGAGAAACCCATGGGACTGCCCGTGAGACAGGCAGGCCTGACGTGATCGGCCACGGTGGACAAAAAAAGCACCCACGGTTTTACGTCCAAGTCTCAAATCTCTGGCTCGATGGCCAGCAAGGGTGTGAGAGCAAGTTGCCCAGCCAGGCACTCTGTCCAGTGACCTCGGGCAAGACGCAGCCGCAGGTACTTGATCAGCAATGATCTGTAGCACTCTTCAGGTGCTTGTGGGTGAAGCTTAAGTCACCCGGCCAGGTCTTCGCCGCAATGCACAGTGTCCCTTCCTAGACAACGCTCCTAGAGCATGCCCAGGCTGCTTCCGCCTCTGGAGCTTCCTCAGTCCTTTCGCCGTGACTGGAATGAGCGTCGTCTATGTTCAGGCACCCACAGTCGTGTCTGTGGAGAAGCAGTATGGTGCAGTGGTTGGGTGCACAGACTCTGAGCCAGACGGTCTTGGTTTGGGTCCCAGCTTTGTAGGAACTAGCTGTGTGACCTCGGGCCTCAGCTTTCTCATCTGTAAAATGAGGGTGATGATGGCAAAATATCCATCGCGGGGGGCTGTGGCCAGAGTCAGGAAGTAATACACAAGAGATGGTTCGAGTGATGCTGACACACAGGAAGCAGGGAAGCTTCTCATAAGTGTTTGCGCTCACAATTATTATCCTGCCTAGCGTGGCTCCAAACCCGTCTTCTCCAGCCAGGACTAATCCACCTCCTGCACGCTTCCATCTCCTCATTTCTAATAAGAACAAGAAAGCAAATTCACGTTCCTGTTTTGGCCTGTAAGGCACGATAGGGTGGGTGCACACCTTAGCCATCGCTGTACCCTGCACCCACAGGGTGGGATGGCACCCACCACTGTCGTGAGAGGATTCTGGAGCCTTCAAAGCTGGTTTTCATTCGGTTTTATTTCACTCCTCCCTCCTTTACAGAGCTTAGTATCCGCATTATGTAAGTGACACCAGCTCATTTTCATGACTCAAAAATACAGAGCGTGGTTTTGAGTCACCTCTTTCAACCCGCAAGGTCTTTCCCCCACCCGTGTGAGACCACACGGTTTCACCCGGCTCCTCCAAGATCTCTCCCTTTGCTTATGCTAACATATATCCACATATGTTGGGGCTTTGGTTTGTTCCTCCAGTAATGAGTCCACACTCCGTGGGGCATTCTAAAAGTTACTTTTGCATTTAGCCATGTATCATGGACATCTCTCCAGGTAAGCACACAGGTTATCCTTGACTTTTTTTCCCATAATGAATTTGGCGACAGGATTTGACCCGAAATTCCTTTTTTATTGTTTTATTTATTCCACTTAAGATGAGTATTCATGATTTTCTATAGATATATTAATGTATTTGATTGCCAATCACTCCTCTAAACCCCTGTGGGTTATATAATACACGGAATACATTATTTAAAAATATTATTCCATATTGTGTTAGATATATTATTTTGTATTGGTATTCCTGTGACACATATTATTTAGCATAAATATGTTTTAAGTCTGAAACATTCTGAATTAAGGAGACATGACTGCTCCTAAGAGTCTGAGATAAAAAACTGTGAATCTGTAGTCTCAAAAGTATTCTGCAGCAAGATTGTGTTACAATTTATTCAATAATTCCCTAATGTGAGTATTCAGATTTCCAGTTTTGTTCACTTAACTATTTGTTTTGTTATTACAGGGTATGCAACGACAAGCACTTTTGAACATATCTTTGACATATTGGTACTTTTACTTTGGATAAGTTCCCAGCAGTGAGACTGCTGGGTCCAAGGGTTTGCATATCATTCCAAAAAGTTATAATTTATGGCGCTATAAACAGAATATGAGAGTGTGCATGTCTCTGCACTTCACCAGCACTAATTGTTGAACAGCGATTTTATGTTTTGCAAATCACAGGGTAGAAACGGTGTCTTGCTGCAGACGAGGCTGTCCCTTTTCCATGCAATCAGCCTCCCCTGCGAATTACCTGTCTGGATCACTGGTCAGTTTTCAGTCAGAGCTACTTGTCTGCAAGAAACATTTACCCTTTTCTTTCATGCGTATATTGCAAATATTTTCTCCTAGCCTATCATTGGTCTTTTGACTTTGTTTATAGTGTCTTTTGCTACAAAGAAGCTTGAAAATGCAGATATGTTAATTTTGTAGTTTTAAGTGTTATTTCTCTTATACTTTTCCAGTTTTCCATAAGCTTACTTTGCCCCTAGGATTTTACATAACCTCCTATATTTTCTTATAATGCTTATATAATTTACCTTTTATATTTCCACCTTACAATCATCTGGAGTATGTTTCTGTATGTGGTATGAGAGAGCACTTTGATTTTATTTCTTCCAATTGGACAGACAGTTGTCTCGGCAACATTAATTGAAAAATGCATCCTTTCCCAATAACTTGCAATGCGACCTTTTTATATCAGGTTCCATATACACATGGCTCAGCATGGGATTATTTCCCGTTCCACTGACCTATTTTTTTTGCTGATCTGGTATTATATTGGTTTAATTGTAGCAGGTTTGTAGGCTTTTGTAATGTTAGATTGTTCCTTGTCAATGTTTTCTTGATAATTCTCAGACATTTACTCTTCTGAACGAACTTGAGAGAAATTCTGTCCAGTTTTGGGACACAGCTCTGCATTAGTTCACTTTGTGTTGCTGTCAAGAAGTACTTGAGGGTAAGTAATTTAAAGAAAAGAGGTTGATTCTGGCTCATGGTTCTGCAGGCTGTACGAGGAACATGGCACCAGCACCTTCTTGGTTCCTGGTGAGGCGTCAGGAGGCTTTTACTCATGGCAGAAGGCAAGGGGATCAGGCATGTCACAGGGCAAGAGAGGGAGCAAGAGACAAGGGAGGAGATGCCAGGCTCTTTAAAGAACCAGCGATGGCAGTTGGCTTAGGGCTGGGCATATGACTGAACTGGAGCCAATGGAAACTGGGAAAATACTTTTTCTAGAGGCTTCAGGATATAAAAAAAAAATCATCTCTTTTTCAGGAGCTACTTAAAATGATATTCTCTGACTTTGGTTACTGTTGTGCAGTGATGTGATTCCCTAAAACTCCAGAAACCATTTGTTACCACAAAGAAAGCCAGCCTGAAGATGTAGCCTACGCAAGGAAAAGGTACAGCTTCAGGTATAGTAGAGAAATGGTGTCAGAGCCTGAGGACTCATACCACTGGAATTCCTCTATGTGGGCTAAAAAGGACCCTTTACTGTTTCAGACTATGTGAGTTGAGTTCTTTGTTCCTTGTGACAGCTGGCATCCCAAATGATGCACCTACTTATTGACTATGTGACATGGACAGGTTATTTAACTTCGGCAAGCCTCAGACACCTCATCTGTAAAGCGGAGCTGATGTTAATAAGCACCTTGGAGGGTTGTTACAGGATTAAAATGGGTGTCAGGAACTGAGAATGAGACATTTGAGCAAGACTTACGATTCCTAAAAGCTCTAAATATCGACCTCCCGTATGACCCTGCAATCCCCCTACTGGGAATATACCCTAAAGAACTCAAATCACTCTACAAGAAAGATACCTGCACACGTATGTTTATCGCAGCGCTGTTCACAATAGCAAGCACCTGGAACCAACCATGCTGTCCATCAAAAGAGAACTGGATTAAAAAAATGTGGTACATATACACGATGGAATACTACGCGGCCATAAAAAAGAA